AAAAAAAAAAAAAAAAAAGTTACTAATCGTTAATTTTAGTGTGGTAATTATAATAGGTATCACTGATTAAGCACATAACTGTTTACAAGCTAGGTGTTTCTTACAGAGCACCTCATTTGACACCCCTGTGAAGTATTAGCTCTGCTTTAGAAAACCTCAAAAGCCTGGTCTCTGGTAAAGAAGTCCATCTCCTTTATGATTATGGTAATTCTGTTTGTGGGGTGGAGCATAAAGAACACTAACTTACTGGGAAGTGTCTGCTTTTAAGAAATGTGCAGGGGGCCAGGTGCAGTGGCTCATGCCTGTAATCCCAGCACTTTGGGAGGCTGAGGCGGGAGGATCATCTGAGATTGGGAGTTCCCGACCAGCCTGACCAACATGGAGAAACCCCATCTCTACTAAAAATACAAAATTAGCTGGGCGTGGTGGTACATGCCTGTAATCCCAGCTACTGAAGAGGCTGAGGCAGGAGAGTTGCTTGAACCTGGGAGGCAGAGGTCGTGCTGAGCCAAGATTGCACCACTGTACCCCAGCCTGGGCAACAAGGGCGAAACTCCGTCTCAGAAAAAAAAAAAAAAAAGAAAGAAAAAGAAATGCACAGGAATGTCCTTTTCTTTTATACATATGTACTGAAATAGCTACAAGTAGAATAATATGAGGACTAGGATTGCCTTCAGGGTAATCTGGTTGGTGACTCCTGAGTGTGGGTGGGTGTAGGTGGATGTGGGCAGCAATGGAGAGACAGGGTGACTGAGAATTATGTTGGTGTTTGGTAATTTTTTATTTACATATTTATTTAGGGACACTGTCGCCCAGGTTGGAGTACAGTTGGGGATCATAGCTCGCTGTAGCCTCAAATTCCTGGTCTCCAGCAACTCTCCCACCTCAGCTCCTGAGTAGCTGGGGCTACAGGCATGTGCCACCATGCCTGGCTAAGTTTTAAACTGTTTAGTTCACTGTAGGTGTGTGGATTTGTTCCTGGGTTCTCTGTTCTGTTCCATTGGTCTGCGTGTCTGTTTTTATGCCAGTACCATGGCAGTTTTGGTTACTATAGCTCTGTATAATTTGAAGTCAATTAATGTGATTTCTCTAGTTTTATTCTTTTTACTTGGGGTAGCTTTGGCTACTCTGAGTCTTTTGTGATTCCATATAAATTTTAAGATTGTTTTTCTGTTTCTGTGAAGAATGTCATTGGTATTTTCATAGAGATTGCATTGAATCTGTAGATTGCTTTGGGTAGTATGGGAAAAAATTCCATGTTCATGGATTAGAAGAATTCATGAACAATAACAATATTGTTATCGGTTCTTCTATCCATGAACATGGAATATTTTCATTTTTTTGGTGTCCTCTTTCATCAGTGTTTTATAGTTTTCATTATAGGGATCTTTCACTTCTTTGGTTAATTCCTAGGTATTTAATTTTTTATGTGTGGCTATTGTAAATGGCATTTTTAAAAAATTTCCTTTTCACATTATTTACTGTTGGCATATGAAAATACATTCTAATTTTGTATTTTAATGAAGTGCTTTAAGTTTTTCACTCATTTCCACCTTAAAAGTAATTGTGGTTTTCTATTAATTTTTTCCTAAAGTTTATCAACGGGCTTAACTTTGAAAGTACTGCTGACTAACTTTCATGTTGTTTTTAGTAAAAGCTTTGATTGATCAAGAAGTGAAGAATGGCATTCCTTCAAACAGAATTGTTTTGGGAGGATTTTCTCAGGTAAGATAAAATTTGGGTGGAATGTCAGTACCATCAGTATATTTATCTAGAAGTCTGTGCTTTAATCCTTCCTGTGGAGTAGTTTAAGTTTGAATGTACTGGAACTAATTAATTTCTTCTTAAAATAACTATAATACCATGTAATTAAATTTCTAGGCTAACACAGTGTTTCCTTTTAATTAATTAGAACTCTGATAACACAGGCATGAGTCCCCTCTCTAGGAGGAGACTACTGGTAAGAACAGTAAAGCAGAAGATAAGAGAATTTCTTCCCTTTACCTTCACTACTATAGGTTTAGGTATAAATATGTGCTGTTTATTTTGGGCATCTTTCTTCTTCTCTGTACTTTACCCCTGCCTTCTGTACTTTGACCGCAGACACTGCTCCCTCATACGGACCTTGCATGGCTACTGCAGCATGTCAGCTGTTTGCCGTGGAACCAGACTCCAGATGCTCTGGCTTCTCATCTCTGTTTCTTTGCTTATCTGCTTTGTTTACCTTTCCGTCAACAGTTGGCCATCTTGGCTTTTGCAGTCTATTGCTTTTCCACCTCTTGAGTTTACATGTTACAGGTCCAGCCACACAGTGTGACTGGTGGTCACCAAATCCTATTTCCTCAGTGCTGGGAGACAGAACATCACTGCCTGGGGTGAAAAAGGCTCTCATGTCCTCATGTGTTACAATGATCCATGGGCATAGTCAGAGTGATGGGGGTCCCAGATGGCCGGCAGGAGTGCAGCTTCCAGAATGCAGGGTGTTGTGACCTGGGTAGGCAGATAGTCTGCAGGTGTCTGCTAAGTAGTTCTTATTATCTTAAATTGTCATTTGGAAAGTAATACCAATTTAAGAGCTGGATGCGGTGGCTCACGCCTGTAATCCCAGCACTTTGGGAGGCCGAGGTGGGCGGATCACCTGAGATTGGGAGTTGGAGACCAGCCTGATCAACATGGAGAAACCCTGTCTCTACTAAAAATAAAAAATTAGCTGGGCATAGTGCTGCATGCCTATAATCTCGGCTACCTGGGAGACTGAGGCAGGGGAATCGCTTGAACCCGGAGGCAGAGGTTGTGGTGAGCTGAGATCACGCCATGCACTCCAGCCTGGGCAACAAGAGCGAAACTCCATCAAAAAAAGTAAGAGAGAGAGCAGAGAGAGAAAAGAAAGACCGATTTAAGACCAGATGGGATTTTATACCTAAAACTCTGCAAAGAAGAAAATATAAATTCAGAATATTTCTAAGGCATGTTGTAAGTGCAACAGTTTCCGATGCTACAAACAATGTCTCATTGGAAAGGAAGTCAGTGTGTTCTCTGGTGAAGGGAACCGAATCCTTTAGGACATGGTGGGGTGTATTTCTATTTCCACTATTTGCCTGATTTGATTTGACATCAGCCACTGAGTTTGATTGTTTTATGGATCTCATTAGTAATAAGAAACCCTCTAAATTGCTGTGTTCATTGACTTACCCTGCTTGTCTTTTCAGGGAGGAGCTTTATCTTTGTATACTGCCCTTACCACGCAGCAGAAATTGGCGGGTGTCACTGCACTCAGCTGCTGGCTTCCACTTCGGGCATCATTTCCACAGGTAACTTGGTTGATGCACTCACTATCAGATTACTGAGCTAAAGGCAGCTAGCAGATAATGTTGGAGATCATCTTATTTTTTTTTATTAATAAACTTTTTTTATTTTTTTGAGACAGAGTCTTGCTCTTTCAACTAGGCTGGAGTGCAGTAGCACGATCTTGGCTCACTGCAACCTCCACCTCCCGGGTTCAAGCGATTCTCCTGCCTGAGCCTCCTGAGTAGCTGGGACTACAGGCGTGTACCATGACGCCTAGGTAATTTTTTGTATTTTTAGTAGAGACAGGATTTCACCGTGTTAGCCAGGATGGTCTCCATCTCCTGACCTTGAGATCTGCCTACCTTGGCCTCCCAAAGTACTGGGATTACAGGCGTGAACCACTGCCCTGGCCTAATAAACTTTATTTTTTAGAGAAGTTTTAAATTCACAGCAAAACTGAGCAGAAGGTAGAGTTACTGTGTACCTCCTGTCCCCCACGTGCACAGCTTCCCCACCATCAGCATCCCCACCTCCACAGTCATGCATTTGCTGCGTTCTGAACCTGCACTGATACATCACCATCACCCAGAGTCCTTCACTTACAGCACTCATCTTTTGTTAAAAAGAATTTTCTTAGACTTTTGTGATGTATTACTAGGCCTTAGTATGCTGTACTGTCTTTATTGTGGAGTACATAGAATGGAATTAGAAGGAAACCTTATTGTCACAAATTTTAGATTTGAAGGATTTGATACATTTTAGGATATATATGAAAATGAGGACTCTTTTTAACCCATAGAAATAATATTTGTTTTTAGTCTGGGCACAGTGGCTCATGCCTATAATCCCAGTACTTTGGGAGGCCAAGGCAGGCAGATCACCTCAGATCAGGAGTTTGAGACCAGCCTGGCCACCATGGTAAAACCGCGTATCTATTAAAAATATAAAAATTAGCTGGGCGGGGTGGTGCACGCCTGTGATGCTAGCTACTTGGGAGGCTGAGGCACAAAAATCACTTGAACCTAGGAGGTAGAGGTTGCAGTGAGTCACAGTTGTGCCACTTCACTCCAGCCTGGGCGACAGAGCAAGACTCTTGTCTTTTAAAAAAAAAAAAAAAAAAAGATAACTGAATAAAGCAGCAACTCAAAGTACTAAAACAACCAACCAAACCAAAAAAAGCAGAAAATACAATATGCTTCAAGGGACTCATTCACTGGGAAGGTATATATTATAATATGAGGCAAGGTGATCACAAATCCTATGGAAGTTAAATAAAGGGGTGTGGTGAGTATATGGATAGAAGGAATTTTATTCCTTTGGCCAAATATAATTTCTAGTATGTTATATATGCATGCATATTTATGTAGAATTTTAAATGCCTGGCATAGTGTCCTGTACCTTTACAAAAATAATACTATTTCTTCTTTTGCTTTTTGCAGGGGCCTATCAGTGGCGCCAATAGAGATATTTCTATTCTTCAGTGCCATGGAGATTGTGACCCTTTAGTTCCCCTGATGTTTGGTTCTCTTACGGTTGAAAAACTAAAAACATTGGTGAATCCAGCCAATGTGACCTTTAAAACGTATCAAGGTATGATGCACAGTTCGTGTCAACAGGTAGGTGTCTGGAAGCAGTGATCAGTACCATATTTGCAACTGTTTTCATGTGATATTTTCAAGAAAAGTAACATTTGAATGCTTGGGGATTTAAATGAGTTAATTCGCATTGGATCATAAGTTAGCAGGTCATTAGATAAGTGTGTATTCAACTTAATTCAACAAATATCTACTGATTGGCTGTTACACACAGCCATTGTACATAATTCAAAGATGAATAATAAACATTCTCTTTCATTAAAATTTAAGATAAATTAAAATTTAATAGAAAGATGCATGTCTAAGTAACAGTATTTATAGCAGAAACTGACCTCCATTGTATTAGAAACTTTAAAAAGTGCCCTTGGAAAATAAAATAAACAACAGGAAGTGCCCTGAAAAACTGAGAAAAGATTAATTTTATCTTAGGAGGCACTGAGACCGTGACGAAACAGCTAGATTTTGAAAAGTGTTGGGATTTGGTTAGCAGAGAAAGAACTGCAGGCCAGGAAGAGCAAGCCATTCAGTCAGACTAGAGTCTTAGGAAAAGCTGAGTGTCACAGGACAGAAGACATGGAACAGAGACTCTCTTTGCTGAGAAGGGACTGACTCTCTAAGCAGCAGGAAGCTATCGATGTTTTTGGTTGAAGTGAGATGTGATCTGATCTACATTCTGGAGGCAGGTGATCCAGTAGGATTTAGAGATTAATTCTATGGGGTGTAGCAACCCAGGAAGTATCAAAAGGGCGTGAGAGTTCTCGCTCTGTTGCCATCATAAAAAGTAGGTGCAAGAAACAGTTGTAAAGGAAGGAGATAATACTGAGTTTAGTGTTTGTATTGAGATTGATGTGCCCCCATGATATCAATATAGGATGTTGGAAATACTTGTCTGAAGTTCAAACCGGGAAATGGAGATTTGAAAATAATTACTAATACTATTGATCAATGAAGAATGATCTTGAGAAAGCATCATAAGAAAAAAAGCTCAGGGGCCAGGTGTGGTGGCTCATGCCTGTAATCCCAACACTTTGGGAGATCAAGAGATTGAGACCATCCTGGCCAACATGGTGAAACCCTGTCTCTACTAAAAATACAAAAATTAGCTGGGCATGGTGGTATGCACCTGTACCCAGCTACTTGGGAGGCTGAGGCAGGAGAATTGCTTGAAACTGGGAGGTGGAGGTTGCAGTGAGCCGAGATCGTGCCACTGCACTCCAGCCTGGCAACAGAGTGAGACTCCATCTCCAAAAAAAAAAAAAAAGAAAAAAAAAGGGAATAGAAACTTGGGAATAGAACTTTAGGGGACACCTTAAGTTTAGCCTAATGATAAAGGGAGTTAGGTGTTGAGAGTATGGGAGGAGAGATTTTCAGAATGGGGAGGAGATGTGTAATGTGTTTCAGGGAAGGGTTAAAGAGAAATAGGTTAGGAAGAAAATATCCAATATTAAGCCACCTGTGACCTTGGATGTTTGGGTAGATAAATCCAAAATGCAAAGGACTATGTAAAGTGGATAGGGAAATGAAGAAGCAGAGGCACCATGTATAGACCTTTTTAAAAAGTTTTGGTAGAGAGGGAATAGGAAATTTGTTCTTTAATGGAAGCAGAGAAAGACCTATGAGTGGAAGGAGGGAGGAAGAAGATGCAGAAAAGAGAAGATAATTGATAGGGGCATTCTCAGAGGGATCATAGAATAGAATAAAGTCTTAGTGCTTGCCTTAAAAGAGGAGAAAAACATTTTCAATCAAGATAGAAAAGGGCGGGCCGGGTGACTATTATAAATAGGAGATGGAGAGAGAGAAGAGTGTTTGGGAGCTCATATGAGATGTGCTTACCTTTTTTTTTTTTTTTTTTGAGATGGAGTCTCACTCTGTTGCCAGGCTGGAGTGCAACAGCATGGTGTTGGCTCACGGCAACCTCCGCCTCCCGGGTTCAAGCGATTCTCCTGCCTCAGCCTCCTGAGAAGCTGGGACTACAGGCACCTGCCACCATGCCTAGCAAATTTTTTGTGTTTTTGTAGAGACAGGGTTTCGCCGTTTTGGCCAGGGTGGTCTCGAACTCCTGACCTCATGATCTGCCTGTCTTGGCCTCCCAAAGTGCTGGGACTACAGGCTTGAGCCATCAAGCCCGGCCTAGATGTGCTTATCTTTTCAGTCAAGTAGGAGATGTGGTCACTTGATAAGAATGAAGGCGGCCTGAATAGGTTTGGAGGCTTGAAAAGACCGAGAGTAAAAATTAAATCCTCAATAGTGAGATAGTCACACTGACAGTTTTACAACCATTCAGACTGGTTAAATATTTGCTTTAGGGACAGAGAAAGAGGTGATAATATGACTTACCCAAAATGACAAGGGTGCCTGGGAACCTAGTGTGTTCCCTTGCTGATATAGAGTATTACAATATTGAATCCAGAAAAAAGAGGGCAGGGGAAGTCCTGGAACCCTTAATGTGAGTAAGAGGGACTGAAGGTCTCTAGAGCAGCTGTTTTCCTCATGGGCTTTGCATCACAAATACCCTGGAGCTTCTTAAAATCTCCATAGATGAGTCTACAAAGACAGGACTGAATGAGTAGTAGCAGAAAGTGAGGAGAAGTAGGGTAGTGGGAGGTGATCTCACAGGAAACTTTCTGGGATGTCAGAGTATTGTGAAGTGGGACCCTTTCATACTGTGGCTCTTTTCTGAGTGACTTAATTATAAGGCTGTAGGTTAGCTGCATTGCTAATATTTGTCACTGTGAGGCTAGGTAAGGCCTTGATATATAAGAGCTGATAGCAGGAGGTGAGTTTGAGGGAGGTGAGAAAACTGAACCAGGTGCAAGAGGCTAAACAGGAGAAAGTTTCTTCTATGATAAACCTTTGGTATATTAATGTTCATATCTTCCTAGGCACATCTTAGGTACATGCTGTCTATGAAATGGTTAGTTGTATATAATTCCTTGTAAAAGACACAAAATAGTTAATGCTATGGATTTAGCATGCAATTCAAATTAGAGAATGGTAGAAGCTCTGCTTTGTCACTCATACTTAGTTGTCAGTAATTGTACACTTACTGAGATTTCTTGGTGTAGGTACTGTCACCTGTAAACTTCCCTGGCTACCCCCAAACCCCCATGTCTTTTATTTTGTTTCAGTATAGGGAAATGCAGAACTAGATACTAGATGGGAGCTGTCATTTCGGTGTACAATAATCATGATGGGAAATGTTCTGAAATTTCTGTTGGAGCCTTATTTCTCTTTTATGTCTTAGTAAAAATGATTTCACCTTAACTGTGCACACCATGGATTTGATTAGTGGTGTTTTAGTGGGAATTTAATTTCTGATTTATGTAACTGCATATTAAATTACTTTATTCCAAACAGGAAATGATGGATGTCAAGCAATTCATTGATAAAGTCCTACCTCCAATTGATTGATGTCACTAAGAGGCCTTGTGTAGAAGTACACCAGCATCATTGTAGTAGAGAATAAACCTTTTCTCATGCCCAGTCTTCAAATTTCTAATGTTTGCAGTGTTAAAATGTTTTGCAAATACACTCTAGTGACACAGATTAAATAATGTCCCTCATGAGAAATGTATGATCTTTTAAGTTTCTATACATGTATTCTTATAAGAAGATTCAGGATACTACCATATTAAAGTAGATGAAGCAGGTAGCTTCTTTTTTCTCAAATATAAGTCAGCAAAATAATATAGTACTGCCACCAGATTTTTTATTACATCATTTGGAAATTAGCAGTATGCCTAATGAAAATTTGTTCAGGTATAAATGAGCAGTTAAGATATAAACAGTTATGCATGCTGTGACTTAGTCTATGGATTTATTCCAAAATTGCTTAGTCACCATGCAGTGTCTGTATTTTATATATGTATTCATATATACATCATGATTGTAATACATAAGAATGAGGTGGTATTATGTTATTCCTAATAATAGGGATAATGCTGTTCATTGTCAAGAAAGAGTAAATTGTTCTCTTCAATAAATGGCCCTTTTATTTTGGGACCAGGTTTTTCTTTTCCCTGATATTATTTCTATTTAATATTCTTTACTCTTCAGAAAAAAAAAATTCATTCTTTCTTTATTATCCTTCATAGCAGACCAAATACAGCCTCTCTGCCATAGACAGCTACTGTCAATACATACTGTAATTTGACATTTTGAGTCACAGATATAAGGTATTTAAAATCTATTTATGCTTTATAGAGAAACCAGACATTAAAACTTCATGCACTACTTATTTCAAATTATTATACCTTATCCAAATTTATACCTATTTAGTTATTAGGATCTTCAACCCAGGTAACAGGAATAATTCTGTGGATTTATTTTTCTGTAAACAACTGAAAGAATTAGATCATATTCTAGTATGTTCTGAAATTTTTTTTTGAGACGGAATCTTGCTCTGTAACCCAGGCTTGAGTGCAGTGGCATGATCTCGGCTCACTGCAACTTCTGCCTCCCCCGTCTTGGTTCAAGCAATTCTCCTGCCTCAGCCTCCCAACCAGCTGAGATTACAGGCATGCACCACCATGCCCAGCTAATTTTTGTATTTTTAGTAGAGATGGGGTTTCACCATGTTGGCCAGGCTGGTCTTGAACTCCTGACCTCGTGATCTGCCCAAGAACCTTGGCTTCCCAACTTGCTGGGATTACAGATGTGAGCCAGCGCACCTGGCTATGTTCTGAAATATGTTTAAGACTGATCTTGAAAACTAATTTCTAAGATGATTTCATCTCCTCATAGCATAGAGTTTACTTTATACACATGTTTGAAACCAACTGCTGTAGAAGATGAGGAGTCTATTGTAATTTTGCTTTATTTTCATCTGCCAGTGGGCTTATTTGAAATTTTCACTTTAGTCAAATTATTTTTTGTCCAAACATAAAAATAGCAATCATTTTAAATTGTCAAAATTTCCAGATTACTGGTAAAAAGTATTTGAAAACAAACTTAATGAGTAATAAAGGCTAGTCAGAGCCCTATGCATAAAGTGTAGTTACCAGATTAATATGTAGCAAAAATGTATGCTTGATATTTCTGAACTCTGTTAATTTTTCTGCTGTATCCCAGCTGACCAAAACAATGTTAAGAATGCATCTTTATAAATGGGTGCTAATCAATAATGGAAATAATTTAGTAATGGACTATATAGGATGTTAATAATGAAGCCATATGTTTATGTCTGGATTTAAACATTTTAAACAATCATTTACTATGTCATTTTTCTTTACCTTGAAGAACATAAACGGTTGTTTCAATTCTAAATATCAGCAAGATTTTATTTATGGCAAGAAATATTTTGTTGAATTGTTGTGCTGTAACATGGGAAAATGTAAATGTTTTTCATGGTTTCTATCAATGTGAAATAAAATTTAATTCTGACTTTTCTCTGACTTTTTTGAGTATTTTAACATTTGGAATGTTAACATTTGGAATATATGTATCTGATGAAAAGGAGTAAAATAACAATGTCCTTAAAATATATATTTATTCAGAGAGAGAAATTTTGATGATGGTATGGTTGGCTTAGAATGGAACCAGGCATAAGAAATAATCTCATGTTATTGTTTTAATCAGCTAAAAAAAAAAAATCCCCAAATTTGGTTTTCAGTGTTTCTACCTATTTAAGAAGTTTCTTTTGGTGTTTATCTTTTATAACCTTTTTTTTTTTTTGAGATGGAGTCCTGCCCTGTTGCCCTGGCTGGAGTACAGTGGCGCAATCTCAGCTCACTGCAACTTCTGCCTCCTGGGTTCAAGTGATTCTGCCTCAGCCTCCTGAGTAGCTGGGATTACAGGAGCCCACCACCAAACCTGGTTAATTTTTCTTTTTTAGATGAAGTTTTGCTCTTGTTGCCCAGGCTGGTGTGCAATGGTGCAATCTTGGCTCACCGCAACCTCCACCTCCCAGGTTCAAGCGAGTCTCCTCCCTCAGCCTCCTGAGAAGCTGGAATTATAGGCACGCACCACCATGCCTGGCTAATTTTGTATTTTTAGTAGAGATGGGGTTTCTCCATGTTAATCAGGCTGGTCTTGAACTCCTAACCTCAGGTGATCTGCCCACCTCAGCCTCCCAAAGTACTGGGATTACAGCCATGAGCCACTGCGCCCGGCCTAATTTTTCTATTTTTAGTAGATACGGGGTTTCACCATGTTGGCCAGGCTGGTCTCGAACTCCTGACCTCAGGTGATCCACCCGCTTTAGCCTCCCAAAGTGCTGGGATTATAGGCGTGAGCCACTGCATCTGCTCTGTCTTTTTCTTTAATGTAGGAGTCACTGGGATTATAAAATTAGTGTCGATAATCAGTTATCCAATTAGTTTTTCTCCTTATTTCAACATTGACTTCTGACTTTTCCAAATAAGAAATCCCTCTGATCTGTTAAGCAGTCCTTACTTTCTGGTTTTGGATACTTAGTGACCACCTCCCTTTTCTGTGAGGCAGCTTGTTCTATTTTTGGGTAATCCTCATGGCAAGAAAAGTCTGTACTAAATATGTTGTTTCTAACTTCAACTTGTTTTATAAAAGGTTTATCTTTCACATCAGCACTTTATTTCATATGATAATCTTTAATGCATGCTTCTTTTAAAAGTAAGTTTGTTCGCTATTAAATATGGTCAGAGTTTGGTACTGTTATGATCTAATTACCAATGGGAAACAATAGTTGTACGTATATGTAAATAGTTGGGAAATTTGCCTACTATTGCAGCCACTCTTATTTAATATATGTTGGGCACTGTACTAAGCATTTTATATCCTTTAAGCATATAGTCCTCTGATCAACTTTATCTTGATTTTACAGAAGAAACTCTAGATAGAGAAACTACTTAGGATTCCAGAGCTATTAATGTGCGAGAGCCAGGATTCAAATTCATGTGCCTAACTCCATGGTCTTTACCACCTTGCTCTGTGCCCCAGTGGGGTAATTTAAATGCTATGCAACACACAAATGATGTGTATTTTATATAATGCAGGACATGTGGAAACGCTGAGTCTACCTATGATAATAATAAGTTCACCAGCCTGGCGCAGTGGCTCATGCCTATAATCCCAGCACTTTGAAAGGCCAAGTTGGGCAGATCATGAGATCAGGAGTTCAAGACCAGCCTGACCAATATGGTGAAACCCCGACTCTACCAAAAACACAAAAATGAGCCGGGTGTGGTGGCACATGCCTGTAATACTAGCTACTCGGGAAGCTGAGGCAGGAGAAGCACTTGTATCTGGGAGGCAAAGGTTGCAGTGGCAACTGTGTAACCTCTGCCTCCGGAGCAACAGAGTGAGACTCCATCTCAAAAAAATAATAATAAGTAAAATCAGCTCACCATAAAGTACATTCTCCAGTGGCCAGAGAGAACTAAAAGGAAACTCAAAACCCACATGGCACAGTTAACTTTGGGGCTTAAGATTAGATAAGGTGTGTAAATAATTCACCCTTATTTATTTTATCTTAAAATATTTTTGTAGAGATGGGGTCTTGCTATGTTGCCCAGGCTGGTCTCAAACTCCTGGGCACAAGCAGTCTTACCACTTCAGCTTCCCAAAGTGCTGGAATTGCAGATGTGAGCCAACACGCCCAGCCAAGCCAGGATCCTTTTAAGGGCTATGCATGTAGGTGTACTGGAAAAATAAAAAACCTGCACCCCCACCCCCAGCATAGGGAAGTGAAGGGAAAATTGTCTGTTTTGGTCTGGGCTCTCCATTGGGAGAGACGGAACGGAATCATCCCTTGAAATTTTTTGACCAGGAGTTTTTGTTCATGTGCATTTTGATTTTCAAGGTATATACCATTTATGTGGTCTGTCAACACATGAAGTTATATATTAACATCAGGAATCTCCCTGGACTGGCTTTACTCTTAGGCACCTGTGCCTAATACTTTATGAGGAGTGACATTCTGAAAATTTAAATTCTGAGGTTGCATTTTTTTTTTTTTTTTTTTTTTGAGATGGAGTCTCGCTCTGTCACCCAGGCTGGAGTGCAGTGGTGCAATCTCAGCTCACTGCAACCTCTGCCTCCCAGGTTCAAGCAGTTCTGCCTCAGCCTCCTGAGTAGCTGGGACTACAGGTGAATGCCGCTATGCCCGGCTAATTTTTTTTTTTTTTTTTTTTTTTGGTAGAGACGGGGGTTTCACAGTGTTGCCCAGGCTGGTCCCAAACCCCTGAGCTCAGGCAATCTGCCCGCCTCGGCCTCCCAAAGAGCTGGGATTACAGGCATGAGCCACTGCCCCTGGCCGAGGTTACATAAAATTAGCCTTGTCAAAAAATGAGCTCAGAGCCCCCACATTTCAAATCATAAGAGAAAATGGTTTACCTACAACTGAATACCAGGTGACCCAAAAGTTAAAAGGAAGGCTGGGCACGGTGGCTCACACCTGTAATACCAGCATTTTGGAAGGCCGAGGTGAGTGGATCACTTGAGGCCAGGAGTTTGAGACCAGCCTGGTCAACATGCTGAAACGTCATCTCTACTAAAAATGCAAAAATTAGTTGGGCGTGGTGACATACACCTATAATCCCAGCTACTCAGGAGGCTGAGGCAGGAGAATCACTTGAACCTGGGAGGCAGAGGTTGTGGTGAGCAGAATAACTGTAAAATGTAGATTTGAGGCTAGGCGCAGTGGCTCACGCCTGTAATCCCAGCACTTTGGGAGGCTGAGTTGGGCAGATCACGAGATCAGGAGTTAAAGACCAGCCTGGGCCAATATGTTGAAACCCTGTCTCTACTAAAAATACAAAAATTAGCTGGGTGTGGTGGCATGTGCCTGTAGTCCCAGCTACTCAGGAGGCTGAGGCAGGAAAATTGCTTGAACCCGGGAGGTGGAAGGGTTGCAGTGAGCCGAGATCTCACCACTGACTCCAGCCCAGGTGACATCGAGGCTGTCTCAAAAATAAAATTAAAGTGCAGATTTGAAAAAAGGTTCAAAGGCTGGACGTGGTGGCTCACACCTGTAATCCCAGTGCTTTTGGAGGCTGAGGCAGGTGGATCACCTGAGGTCAGGAGTTTGAGACCAGCCTGGCCAACATGGTGAAACCTCGTTTCTACTAAAAATACCAAAAATTAGCCAGGTGTAGGGGCAGGCCTCTGTCATCCCAGATACTCAGTAGGCTGAGATAGGAGAATCGCTTGAACCCGGGAGGCAAAAGTTACAGTGAGTCGAGATCGCATCATTACACTCTAGCCTGGGCAACAAGAGCAAAACTCTGTCTCAAATAAAGAAAAGAAAAAGGAAAGAAAGAAAGCCTTCAAATAAAAAAATTCAACTGGGAGTGATGGTGCTTGCCTGTAATCCCAGCTATTCCAGAGGCTGAGCTGGAAGGATCCCTTGAGCCCAGGAGTTCGAGGCTGCATTGAACTATTACCACGCCATTGCACTCCAGCCTGGGCAACATCCACAGGCACCTGTCCACATCTCTGGACAAGTGTTAGTTGTGACAGTACAATGTTTGATACAACCAAATGTGAATGAAGGTGGACCAGCTAAGTAAACAATTGAACATCTACGCAATGGAAAGTGAGGCAGCTATTTAAAAGGAGGCCGGGCACGGTGGCTCAAGCCTGTAATCCCAGCACTTTGGGATGCCGAGGCGGGCGGATCACAAGGTCAAGAGATCAAGACCATCCTGGCCAACATGGTGAAACCCCGTCTCTACTAAAAATAAAATACAAAAATTAGCTGGGCGTGGTGGCACGCGCCTGTAGTCCCAGCTACTCGGGAGGCTGAGGCAGGAGAAATGCTTGAACCCGGGAAGCGGAAGTTGCAGTGAGCCGAGATTGTGCCACTACACTCCAGCCTGGCACCTGGCGACAGAGTGAGACTCTGTCTCAAAAAAAATAAGGTGCACTGTATTCATTAGGAAGGGATTTGGGGTACATTATCAGATGAAAAAAATGTAAAAAACTGAAAGGTGGAGGAAATAAGACCACATACCTGATATGGCTAGAATTTGCATTTAAAAAAAAAAACACTAGGCCGGGCGCGGTGGCTCAAGCCTGTAATCCCAGCACTTTGGAAGGCCGAGGCAGGTGGATCACGAGGTCAAGAGATCGAGACCATCCTGGTCAACATGGTAAAACCCCGTCTCTACTAAAAATACAAAACATTAGCTGGGCGTGGTGGCGCGTGCCTGTAATCTCAGCTACTCAGGAGGTTGAGGCAAGAGAATTGCCTGAACCCAGGAGGTGGAGGTTGCGGTGAGCCAAGATCGCGCCATTGGACTCCAGCCTGGGTAACAAGAGTGAAACTCTGTCTCAAACAAACAAACAAACAAACAAAAAACACTAGAAGGATATTGAAGAGTAGTAAAAGTAGTCATATCTATAGAGCATGAATGGGGAAGAAATGAGGTGAATAAGGATAGGAGTTAGAGGAATCCTGCCTTTGGGATA